CCAACCCCTGCCAACGTTCGCCATCCCCGCGATTGCCATCGCGCCAAGAATGCATAAGCAGGACCGCTTTATATCAGTCCGCAATGCTGCAAACTCCCGCACGCTTACACTTCGATTCTTCTATCTCTGTTCTAAAAATTCTCAACGATTTAGAATGTCATGCCTTCGTTGTCATAAAGAAAAACTCACAAGTGCTGTAATAGAATCACTAAAATGTCAGGAAATGAATGTAATTGAGAAAAAAAATTTTTAATCTGTCTTTCATATTGTTAGAATGTTTAATAGTAATAGTATTAGTATAAGTTCTGTTTAATAGTAGTAGATATATAGTAAATTAACCCTCCTGACATCGCATGGAAAAAATTAAGTTATTCCGTCCAATATAAAAATAATTGTTCCGTTTTGAAATGTGGAAGTCATTGTAGATAATAATCTAAAATTGAAATATTCCGTAAATACATGAATATCATTATTTGCCTGATGGATTTCGTTTCGTGAGCGATAAATGAAATTTTGAAAGATTCGCAAACGAAATAAATGAACGTACACGGGCGAACGACCAATCGTCGGCACATTTATAAAACCGACGAACGATCATTTTCTCCTTCGTTGAAACTCCCTCGGATTCGGATATCGTTACAGAAATCATGCTACCGATACGATCGATGGGTTATTAATGATTGACAAGCTGGTCGGTTCGTTCCTCCAACCGCGTTTGCCGCAGCGGCATCGATGGTTTTCCTCTGTCGCCTTATCAGCTATGCTATCCGATAGAGAAACGATTCGCGCAGCGATTCGCACTGGATTTACGCGAATCCATACAGCGGCAATCATATCGCGGCCTGATAATTGGCAGAGAACCGACAATCGTCGTAATTTTGGTTCGGAAATTCTGACGTGTGACACGCGACGGTTCGACGCTCTTGGGACGCACCTCATTCAATTAGTCACTCAGTTACTCGCATCACATCGCATTTACCCATCAACCTCCCATCGAGTTCTCCTTCTCCTCCTCTCCTCGTTTTCATGCTCCTATAACCCTCCGGCAACCCTCCGGATTCGTTCGGGTTGCGCGAACAGGTCGCGTTCACCGCGAACTCATGATTTAAACTTTTCGAGACGATGATCCGTTCCCCCCCATACGCGCAGCTGGCTCGATCAGAATGTCACCAGCCTATCATTCGGAAAACGACTTTAGTTCCCTGCTCGTGTCGCCGGGAATACTGCCACCAGCATCGCACGATTTCCGTAACTTCCTGTAAGTTTGCTGTCGCTTCTGTTGCCAACAATCGGATATAACTCCGACGACGATTAAGAAACGACAGTGATAATTATTATCTTGAAATATTAAATGGTGTCATTAACTCGCATTAACATATCCCACGTTTAGGGAAATGAAGTTTTGAAAACAAGATTTCTCTTCATTAATTCACATCTTTTTTGCCAATGTAATGCCAATCTTCTAATTCTCCTTTGTTCGTTTATTACCTTATCGCTACGTTCTATTCGTAGTACACGTACGTGATAAGAACGTGCTGTCGCTAACAAAGATAGTAAAGAGGAAACATAAGTAACAGACACGCGGAAGCGTGGAAGTTGCGACGAATTTGCGGATGATCGCAAACTCGCCGAAGGGCCGAAACCGGCAGCATAGTGGAATTACTCGACGGCTCGCTCCCACGAGACTGAACTTGTCCGCGACAATTTCAAACTTATTTTAACATTCATATAAGCCCCGTCCCCTTAGCCCATGCAACCGGCGAACCGTCGCCTAAGCATCTCTTTCCACGTGTAACCCGAGAACCGACCCGCTAAGTCGCTCTTCCTATATGGAAAGCATGAGGGTAACGCGGGATTTACATAAGATTATACTACGGCCTTCGTATGTCTCATAGAAAAGGGAGCAACGAAATAGTACTCGGGGGTGTGCTGCTCTTCGGTTGATAATTAGAATCACGACCGAGATTCAGCGATTCCAGTAAACGATTTCTAACACTTCGCTTAGATTATCATTCCTTTCTATCAACCTGTATTGCTATTATTATGTCCTAAATGTAATTTTAAATGTACATAAGATCATAATATGTTCTGCGAGTAGAGACAAAAAAGGAATTGTATATAAATTCCCTTATATGTCTTCTATTATGTTATATTATATGCAATTATTAGTATTATTATTTTATATGCAAATGACTTAGAAAAAATTATAAAAGTAATATGAAAATATGATACAATAAAGTGTTAGTGCATCGCACTAGAATTAATTGAAGACAAGGACTGGTATGAATAATTTATGGTGTATTTAAAAGAGTGAAATAAAATGAACATGAAACTATAAATTGGAAGGTATTCGTTCTCAAAAGATTTTGATCCCATTACATATTTCAATAAGTTGGAGAAGAGTTATTATCACACGCACTATTTCTCAAGGCGTTGTTAAATCTCTCCACCGTTCCCCATTATGTGTTTCGTATTCATAGTCTGAGCGAAAATTGCTCCTAGAGCAAAATAAAGATTATACGAGCCATAAAACAAGTTCAGCCTACCTTGCCGATGTTTATTTAAGCATAGGAGATGCATCGAACATTCCCTCATCCCTGCCACTTTTCCTTTATCCCTCTTCGCTATTATTCCTCCCCATTCTCGTTCTTTTCCCTGATTTTCAAATCTCGTAGCATAATTTCAAACCAAGCCTCACTAGCACCATCGGATAAGCTTATCGATGGAGCATGTGCAACGTAGAAATGGTTTACCGCTGCTACATTGAGGACTCTTCGTGCAATTCTGAATAATTCTGCCCTCTGCAGAGAATGCTGCGAAACCTGAATTCAAATCTACGATAGTCGAACACAATATTATCGGGAAGGCGTTTATTAATATTTTTTATACGAATTGATAATTAAATATGTACAATAAAAATTACTAGAATCTATCTAATAAAATATTCTTATTCACATGGCACTTTTCCAATATCTCCGAATATCTCAGTCTGAACGAAACATATGAACAACGGGAATTGATAAAATGGAAGAGTACGTTGCTCAAAATTATTAGTCAAATATAATCTTCAGGCAATAAATTTTTAACATAATTTCATAGTTTATTAAATAGTTTCATACTATGCTACGTACGCGGATTATACGTATACTACAAAATGAGTACTTCACGACTGGGCACATTGTGTCGTCTAGTATCCATACCTCACAGATAGTCAGCAGAAAATGTAAGAAGGAACGAGAAAAGATGTGCGAACCAATATCCGTAGCTGTCGTAAGTACATATGTGAAAAGAATATGCATTTACATTTTACCCACGTAGAACTCATATTGTTTGAAACGCAGAAGTTGCACAAATAAGTGGAAATATTCATAAATCGAGTACTTTCACAGTTCGTTTAATGATAGTAAAGACTTCCTATTTTAGGTGGCTTCTGTTGGCTAACGTCCAATGTTAAACTATCGAAACTGTGAATGTGTAGCGATTAAACAGCAGGAAACATAAAATTCAAATGAAGCAAATTACATCCTATAATTTCACCTGCACTGTTGCTCATATATGTACATACGTGTAAAACAATATTATTCAATGCTACATACTTTACTACATAACATTCATTAGATTAAATAAATTCAAACAATAAAACAGATATATCCTACAGTAATCGTAGCTAATTGGTTGCAATCCGATTAGCTGCCTGCAATATTATTGCGGAAGAATTATTTCTCGACTTGATTTGTTACAACTAATTACAATGTAACGTTTGGTCTAATCTGCGTAACTGTGAATTAACAACGAATTCCATGCTCATGAAATATTAAATTGCTCGCGCGATGTCGCATTAACTTTTCGTTACATAAACGGACGAGAGTTTTAACTCGTTCCTGTTTGAAAGTAACGCCTGATGCGATTTTTCATAAACGTCCTATTTGGACTACTCTCGTCGCAGATTTTGTGCGGCTGCGGGTACAAAGACGGTACGGAGATTTCGGAAGCTATCTCGGCAGCGATACACATCAGCCAAAAGGATATGAAACCATCGTTTTTCGCGCCGGACGTGGACATTTGCGAGACGATCGATCATCTTACTAAAGAGCCAGATATGAACTGCTCTACTAGGAACGCGCTGGTCGAAGCTGCCAGATTAGCCAGATCAAAAATAAAACCGCTGTGCGAATGCGATTCTTGCAGACATGCGGCACTCGTCATTCCTGGAGGAATGGGCGCCGCAAAAATATTGTTAGTATTCGTACAATTATTATAAGAGTATTAAATTCTCAACGAAATTATAATTCGTGATGCCATAATTTTTTTAGTAGTCTATCATAAGCTTTTTTTTTTAAATAAAGTATTATTAATGTGAACTGTATTTTAAAATTAATTTTGCACTATGAAATGAAAGTTCATAGCATATTAGCTTTAATATACTCGGAATTATTTTATTTTATCATTAACTGAATTTGTACGAAGAAGTATAATGTTTAGATAAATTCACATATTCATACTTACCCCATTTAAAGGAGCAACTTCGCAGAAAGCGGAGCTGACTGTACTGTGCATCCGGATTTGGAAAAAATTATCGAAGAATTTTATTGTGATAAAAAGCCAATTGCATCAATGTGCATTGCCAGTGCCATTGTCGCAAGAGTGTTAAAGGGAGTGAAAGTAACGCTTGGGAAAGATTGTAAGTTCCTAAGAAATAATATTATTCACTGTAGAATTGTGTCATTCGATCATTTATTGTGTACTCTAAATTTAATTTCTTAACATAATATTATAGCACCGAAAGAAGATTGGCCGCACGCGGAAGCTATTAAGAAAGTTAAGCAAATGGGTGCCAAAGTTGAATTAAAAGGTGTAAAAGGAGTGACCAAATGTAAAAAATACAACGTCTTCAGTACACCTGCCTGGTTGTACAAGCCTGCTACTTACGCGGATGTTCATAATGGTATAGGAAAGCTAATTACAGCGTTAAGGAAATCAATGAACTTTTGACAACGATGTCTCGTTTTTCAAATACACAGTTCTACGTGAGTCATAAATACTGTTAACAGAATGAAGTTGTATTTTATAGTAATGTTTTTACTACATCAATTTACGTGTACATATTGATCGATCGCTTGAAATATAGTGATTATAAAGAGCTCGTCAATTTGATCATCTTCCAAATGATTTACTTACTTTTAACGAAGTCTTCAATTTGCAGGAAATAAACGTAGAAAGTTTTTTTTTTCATATTTATTTATATAATTTAGGAAAAATATATTTTATTTCGAAAACCTGTCGTGTCGCCTGCGATAAAAGGTGAACAGTACGAGACACAAAATATTTAATCCAGTTTTCAATCATCTATCGATACACTTAATATAATTAACAACAATTATCTAATAACAATACGTCAAAAATCTATAATGGGACACATGTGTTGTTCGTGTAATTTTTCATGTTATGAAGCACAGAATGATTATTGTCTAAAAATTGAAAGCAATTCAAAACTTTCAGACATAGGTCATAGTGATCGACGTGCATATTCTGTAGATGTGTCAATGGGTGAAGAGAAACGCTTACAGATATATCTAAATAAAAGCTGGATGGTTTTATGAGAAAGTATTAGTTTAATTTATGAAAATTAATGAACAGTTCTACGTTGAGCCGATAATAATTAATTGGGGGGACAGTCTTCATGAATTTAATAAATGCAGCTAGACATTCTGCATGTAAAAATTAAAGAGAATACTTATCTACAATCGATCTTACGCGTTTCGACAACTACATAGATAGATGTAGAAATCAGGTCAAACGAATGAATATAGTTCATCGAATGATTGCACGCGTTGTGCTAGACCAATTACGCTTTAGCTAAAACACTAAAGAAAACGCGTTGGCAGAGCGATAGAATTTATTTACAAGAGGCCGCTGGTAAACGGAAATCGGCACTGTTCAAATTCCCTCTGCGTGATCCCGTTCGCGCCCCGTTGCTAGAAGAGAAAAATGCGGGCGACGCAAATTTCATGTTTTCGCACTGGACATAATCGTACGTGATCACGTACATACATACGTATTATGTTGAGTGCGCAGCCCATGAACGGAGATTTAACGTTAGGTATATACCAGCAACTCGTGTCGGGCCAAGGTTTACTCGAGCATAACGAAAACGCACGCACAAGTACGTTCAATCAATTTAAAACGTGTCCGTGAATTGCTGATAAACGAGTTCGACACGATCTCTTCAACAGTCCGGATACATACTTGCACTTGCACGCGAAAATTGCGTAATTAATCGACCGACGATGAAAGTGATCTTGAATCGTTATTCATTTCTCGTTTTTACTCGAATTAAGACTTATAATAAAGTCTATTAAGTACATTCCTCATTAATTATTTCTTTCATCGAACGATTAATTATTCATTACAAAATCACGCGCGTTAAAAACTCCAATTTGTCAATTTTACTAAGTTCCAATTGTCAGAGTATCATTATCCGTCCGATTCAAGGTACATGAATTATCTAGCTTTAAATTATCTCGGAGCATGCGATACGTTTAATTACCAAGCGAAATGATACCAGAACGATCGCTTGTGTCACTTTAAATAATAGCATAAAATACTTAATTTTCAAGCAATCGTGCAATTGCAATGAAAGTTGGAAAGTACGTCATGACAGAACGCGTTCGCATTAAGATTAATAATCGAGGAGCATGGAACGGAATACAATTCCGCGGAAATGGAAATATACGCGAGCTGTTAATACAGCCCAGTTCTCGATCGTAATCAAGTTAATTAGAAAATTCAAACAGCATTCTTTTGCTGAAAAAATGTTCAGATAAACGCAAAGGTCTGGCCCTCTCGAATCATCCGTTCCTGTCGTTTTGAACTCCTCCGATGGTAGGACGTAACGACACATTTTAGACTTTGGTTCTGATCTCGTGTCTAGATTTCGCGTTTTGGGAAGATCCCGAGATCCGCACTACCGTACCTACAGCTTGAGCTCGAATTTATGTTCAACTGAGCGCCAACAAAGGCTCCGCGGCCATGCGAGATCTTCTGGCTTTGTCTTCCTCGTACTGCTTCATCTTTATCAGCTTCCTCTTGCCTTTACTCTCCTTCTTCCTCGGCACTTCCGTCGTCGTAGTCACTTCAGCACTGACTGGCTCTTCTTCCTCCAACATTCTCAGCGTTTCAATGATGTTTCTCGGTTCCGTGATGCGTCCCGTTGCGCTACCGTTTTTGTTCGCGTAAACCACGGACAGGTGAGAGAAGCTCGATTTAGGTGGCGCCGTAATGTCGGCGAAGTCCCGGAAGTTTGCGAAGAAATCTCCGCCACGGATCGGTTGAGGTTTCGGGTTCCTGAAGTAGCTCGCGCGGCTGCGACCACCGCCGTGATAGTAAGGATTGTACACACTATCGTCCGTTGAGTATTCGTCAGTCTCCTTGTCCTCAGGATAATAAGTTCCCCCTCTGATCACTCCGAAGTTTCCTGATCCTAGGAGAGGATGATGGACGTCTTTCGCGGTCGCCGCGGCTGCTTGATAACCACTACGTTCGCGTTGGAAGTATCCCAAAAATCTGTTGGGCCTGTACCTTTGTTGCTCGTTGAAAGGAACCCTATGATTCGCGAACAACTCCGCGAACGATGGAAAGAAATTTTGGCTATCACTTTCCAAGCTTTTGTCTTCTGTGTCGGTCATCTCGGTGTGAACAGTTTCTTTGGTGTTGTCCGCTTCCTGATCCTTAGATTCGGTTTTCTCTGGAACAGCGGCCGGTACTTCGTCTTTCTTTTCAAGTACTTCAACCGGAACTTCGGTATTGTTTTTAGGATTTTCGTTTTCCGTTTCTTCTTGTTCTTCCCCATGTTCTTCTACCTGTTCTTCCACTTGTTCTTGTTCTTTATTTCTTTCATTTGTTTCTGTTGCTTCTGGTTCCATATACATATCGGAATCGTCTCCATCTTCGTATTCTTGACCGGTTTCAGAGGCAGATGCCATAGAGTCCTAGAACAAGTACAACACGTGTCTAACATTACAATCGATGTAAATTATTCGTTCAAACAATAAACGTTTGCACAATAAAGGTTTTCGAAAGAAACCTTCACATTTAACATAAATAGATATCTAGCATCATCTTACACGTGACATTTGCGATATAAATTTTCACCACGACATTTTACTCTTGACCCAAGGCTGGGATATTATTTATTTTACAATACTCTAATCAATAACAATTGTGGAATCTCTTCGAATCAAAGGAAAGTACAGTAATATCCGGATACATGGCCGCGAATCATCCCCACCAATTCTTGAACGTGTTCACTTGAGTTTATGTTTATTCTTCTTTCATCTATATTGAGGAATCAGTTTCATACTCATGACGATTATTCAGAAAATATTGGAGTTTCAAGAAACTACATAGAACTTTATTTGTAAATGATAATAGTATCTACAACTTTTGTTTAAAACATGTTTTCCTAGCATCGACTCTCATCTATGTTTATTCATCTATCTCAATTGTGGCGCTGGCATAATTAATACTGTTTACTTTCTCCATGCTGCGCGCTTGAACAACAAAATTGAATAAAAAAATTAAAAAATCCATCCACCGGATATCCGCCACTGATCGAGGCTTGTTCATATATCTAATAGAATCTCGATCAGTATTTGCGTAGTAATAATTCTTCACAATGATTGTTAGTATGAATTCGTTTTACAAAAGAAAAGCCAAGATGCCTCTATTGAATTTGCTTTCGCGGGGCTCATTGACCGACCGCATAAAAAGCGAGGGTCTCTTGTATTCACTAGGACAACTGCAGCGTATCCTCGCCTTGACATTTAAGACATCTTCGTGCCGACGACCGGCTGGAAACTAGTTAGCTGGTATCACGAGTATGACGTGGTTACCTGCTGCACCTAGATCGGTGCCATTCAATATCATGCGTATACACGCCGTTTATATCCTGCCGGAGGGACGCGCGCACACGTGCGGAGGCAAGCGAATGCTCACCTCACGCGTCGACACTTTAATGCAGATGATAGCCGTTCAAATGAATTGAGAAATCGCCGGTCCAGGCGCGCCTAGCATTGTTACCAATATGTCAGGTCAACGTAGTCGCTGTATAACTGTATCTACCTACTTTCGTATTCGCGCGACTTTTTTTTTCACCTACGTTCCTGTGGCCACGTTTTCGAACCTACCTGCGGTATAGTTGCCAGAGTTACAATCGATATCCCCTGGACGTTCGATTATAGGCTGTTTACCGGGAGGTAAGGTATGCGTCGTTTTACGATTGTATGATAATTCGACATTGTGTACATGTGTAACGTTCTGGCAGCAAAGTGACTGCGGTTTAATCGATAGCAAGTGCAGAACAGAACATGCATTTGTTCAATGGTTTCATATGATTGAGATATTGCCCATTTCTTTCAGTTAGATTTCCATTCGATTGGGCAGTGATTTCTTTAAGAAGACTAGTGAACGTTCTTCCTTGATTTGAATTAATAAATGATTTGAACGAAGACTGAATGCAGAAAAAGTGAGAAATGATCGGGAATGATTGATTAGCTAATTAAAATAAAACATACCACAATATAAACTGTTTTTACTATATATCTTTCCTAATCACTTCGTGTGTCTAATACTTCTATTCGGTAATAATGACGTTTTTATTACGAGACGTAACGCATCATGCTCGGCCACGGTTAAACGGAAAAAGTAAAAACAGAAATTTATGCACTTGCCGGGACAGCAACGTATATTCAAACAGCAATAAATAATGTATTGCTTGTGTGTTACGTGTAAGAACATAAATAAAATCACAGAATTCTAGATAAGTTGCGGATGTGGGAACAGTTATAAATCAAAGGATCGCAAAACATTTTCCGGCAAACGTAACACTATTTCTCTACTGTTACTCTATACGGATAATACGGATCTTCATTTACGAATGTGTGACCTGTGAAAGCTAGTATGTTGCATCAAAATTCACAGACGACAAACACATTGTGCCCTCGTAAGTGGAAGTGATGGATGGGCTGTTATATCGTGGAAAGAGAGATGATCACGATCTTCTCTGCATTAACAATTCCGGCCACGATCGCGATGGAAGAAAATCTCGTGAAGTATGTGTATTATTCAGACATAATATTTTAATAAGTTATTACAATTGACCTTCCAGTAAAGCGAATTTTATATTACCAGGACAAAATATATGTATGTATATCTAGTACATATAAAACTAATTCTGTAATCGAGTGATCTGCATTGGAAAAATAATATAAAACTCTAATACATATGATTTTCAGATTCTAAGTAAGAAATTTCTTCTTCCTATTTGTAATTAAACAGCGTAGGTAGATAAGTGAACAGGTTGATCGATCGAAAGAAAGTAGGTCCATAATAAATCTCGGTGTAATACGTGTGTAAAATATTATATTAATTCAAATCACTTATTATATTAATTCAACGTCTGTATGCAAGCATATATTACAAAAATCAGCAATTAATAGTTGAAACCTATGATTACCCTCTGCAGTATAAATTATACGCGTATTAAGGGCAATCAGTCTGCTGCACGTTAGATGATCCATAGTGTCGGGAGATATAATCGTATCACGAGGGAAACCGGGGGAACTTTATTACAGGTGGCGAGAGTATGAGAGTATTGCAGAAAACCTCCAACGAAATTCGGTCTGACGCTATAGCCGATCGTGGGATATCGACCTATGACGCCCTCGGTTTCGTACCGAATCAAAATGATCGGCACGCCATAATGATTGATTGAGGTCCTTTCGTTTCTAGAAATCAAGCCGACGTTTTACATTACGGTTGCCTTCGTACATTACACTCCATGATTCATTAAAATTCCAGTTTTTGCTTCTTGATCTGTACGGGCACCGGTAGCGAACATTTCTTGAAATGTACTTATTGAACGAAATCTTTGAAAAAAGTATATTTGTCGGAATCTGGCTAAAGGATACGCAATATGTAACTGACTGACGTAAGAAAGTAATTAAACAGTTACTCTAGTTTTGACTGTAATTAAGTAAAAGGCATGATACTGCTATTTTGAATGATTATGTCTGGTCATACTTCCGGATTTTTATCATTTTATTGTCGATTACCAACGTTTCATAAATATTGCTAGATGAAATAAATTTTATTGCTGTATAAAATATGTGCAAGACACGATAGAATAGACAAAATCATAAATACCAGTGATCTAGTAAATCATTATGATAGCTTCGAATTTATTGATTATTATATCAATTTTAGAAATGTTTGCACAAAAGTACCATTCGTTCGTTGTTAATAACTGCATTACGAGGCGATAATGCAAATCCAGATTGACACAGTTACATAAAAAACTAATGAACGCGTTTTTAATCGGTGTCATTATCTTCTTTCGTAACGAGCATGTCTTTAAATGCATAGTATGAAAAGAAGAAAGGGTGCGGAGTGTTCTTCTAACTCGATTCATTCGTTGCTCGATTTGCATAGTTCTTACACACTCGGTAATTTGAATTGAAAAATATGTCTCGCGCAAGAAAATAATATGACAGCCACCATAAATCTTGGCATTCGCGCATTATGTCAATAATGGGATATAAGAATTAAAAAATGAAACTGGAATGCGCGTTTCACGCGAAACGACAGCCACATAATATTATTTAATTTCAATTTTGCTACCATTTTTATCTATTGCGTGAACATATAATAGATGAGTACATGTGAAATGTTTTCCGCCGCGTGATTTCGCGCTTAAACGCGAAAATTGCTTCTTCACATTTGTTCTATTGAGTTCATTAATCACGAACAATGATACTTCAGCGAAGTATAAAGCTGTAAAATATCGTGGAACAAGTTAAAGCGAAAACGTTTCACAGGAATTTGTTTAAGCCGCGGGTGGTAACTATATTTTACAAATTGATCTACAATAAGCAGTCGACGAGCATCGCGTTTCCTGATATAAATCACGCCCCGGACTTTCTCCCCGTTGTGTTAAAAAGTACGAATTATTGAGCAATCATTCATCCCCGTTTTCTTCCCATCATTATCTTACCTCGTGTACGACTACGTCTTCGGGAACCGGTGCACCATCTGAAACAGAGAATAAGTTTTTATCAAATTGAAGCAACTTTATGAACTTCTAATTATAAAACATTTTTAAGAGTAAATGCACGCAAGAGTATTCTTGTTTGTATCAATTCTAATATATTTCACCTGAATGTACACTGAGAAAATGCCTTTTTAGAACAGTTTTGTAAATTCTAGTTACATTGAGAAAATCGATGAGAATATCGTTTAATCATATGTAAATCAATCGATCGATTTTCTAATAGCCACGATAGCGAAATTACTCATCTAACAAGGAATAAAATTGAATACGAGAATAGTCAATGATAAATGACCGTCCCCTCGGTGTTCAAGATACATGGAGGCGTTCCTTGAAATTTTCAATCACGCAGTAACGAAATTCCCTCAAGTGATAAATGCGATCGATCTGACGATCTGCATAAGGACCGAGGATACGTTTCACGTTAATTTCATCCTCGATTATGGCAACGTCTCTAAGCATATTAATAATCTAAATGTGTACTGTACAAAGATTTCAAGAAGATTTATATATGCGTTCCTAATTTAATAGAATTAGGGTGGTAATAATAATAACAAAATATTGTTACATAAAACTCATTCATGTTGGTAAAAAATAACGAAAGCTAGGAGTCATTATATACGTAACAGAAGCACTCTTATTTATTGAGACATTTCTTTGCCATGTAGGTAATAAATCACAGAACATTAGTTACACCTTTGCAGTAATAGTTGATTAATCTTCTTAGTATCGTTATGAAAATAACTATTTCCATGGGCATACGTAGATACGTAGGTACCTGGCCTGCACTTGCAATCAGAGTGACACAAGTGAAAGAACTCGATTTTTAAATTAAGATCATGAACAAGTATGATGATCATACATAAGAACTCTTGATTAACTAAAATGAGTAAATCCTGAAGTAACATTAAAAATAATTCAATTTCACATAAATCAGAATATTCTGAAAATCGTCACATATTAATATAATTTCTGGTAAATAAAGAATACGAACGTGCACTTGGCAATCGTTCCTTAAAATTTGTTAACGATTCGACGGCTCGCTCGCTTCCCTCAAAACTTTGAAAGGATCGACTTAGAAAGGATCAATTAACGCGAACTGTTCGACCGTGCCGCGACAGTTTTCTTTGCTCGCTGCCGGGGGAGAAAGTCAATTACTGCGATGACAAGCCGCAAACGTTTAGCGATGACGTAGTACGTCTCCGGAGATCTTCGTGGTACGTGTTCAAAGTTAAAACGCTCCGTGCAGTTGCTCCCTTGGCACCAGCTGTCAGCTACAGTTTGAGAGACAAGACGTTTGGATCACCTCGCGTATTTCCTACTCGCCGTTATCGTTCCGCTCCGCTTTTAATTTTCGCTACGCCTCATGTTTCCTATACCCGTTGACTAGGCGAACGATCAAAAATGCAACTCATTTACATGAGTACTATATATAGATACATTAGAATTACAGGGTATAACTATATAACGGTTTATATTGACGATGGGATAATAAAAAGAAATACATACTCGGCTTAAACGATGATAAACGAGATTGTTAGGAATTAATTACACTCGCTTCGTGCAAATCTCGCTACTACACAGAAAATAAAAACCTATTATTGTCTAAGGTGATCAATAGAGCCTCATTTAAAATTGTTTAAACGCTGCACACTCCATACCAATCGCGTTTTGCGTTACACGATGACACAGATACCGGTCTTTTAAACGCATCAACGTACACCTCCACTTTCTAAAGATACGTTGCCAGCTACATCTTCGTGAGGGAACAATCATCCGGGAGATGTCGAAAGATACGTAATCCTTGCACTGTGTTCTTGAGTAATAACGTATGTATACTTGATGCGTCACCACTTCAAAGCACACACTCGGTTCTCCCGTTCGTGCGACAGTAGCGGTTATCAAACATTAATCTAGCCGCTTACACGACCTCGTTCTTCAACGATACTTTCTGAAGTCGACGATAATGAGGATGATCCCGGCGGGAACTCGCGCCGCGCTTTCAACATTGTTCACGCCATTGTTCGCGTTGAGAACCGGAGACGACGTTTTATTTGTCTGTATCTCTAACTATCATTGCGAAGAGAAGCGACATTCACCGCGCGATCGTAATGACTTAATAAGACGAATTTGCCGACCTGGAAAGCTGCTGTCCTATGTCCCACATTCGCATGATCATTGATTACTTCAACCAGACAGCTATTTAGAATCGTGTTCTGGACAAGAATACGACTTTGCTCGTGATCTGGATGAAATCGTCACAACTGTGTGGCAAAACGTTTCCCAGTGGTATTGAATTATTGTCGCACTGAATTCCTTTCATCTTTTTATGCCACGGCTAAAAGTAAGGTTTCTATATTTTTTGTGATACTGCATATAAATAGTTTTTAGAATTTGTGTCGGACGTGTGTCGCCATCGTAACAAAAGTACACGCTCGTGTCTACGTACAGGCCGTACAAATGTGATACGAACGGTACGATACGAATTGGTTTGATGGACGAGCAATCAATGTCGACAGAAAAAAAATTGTTCGCTTTACCCGCGGTACATCGGAAAGTACAGCATACCGTTTTCCGTTCCTAGACGGCCGGCGAACTGCTTTGAAATTGTAATACGCACGCGAACGACATAATCAAATCGCAAATCAGACCGGATTCTTACCACTCGGCAGACCGACGAGGAAGTGATTACCATCAGTACGAAATACGAACCTATCGCGTTCCTTTTTTCGCCCTGGGTTGCGAACGAGAAAGGATTCAGGATACGTATTACGTGCACGAACCGCTACGAAACTGCAGGAAAATTTGTAACTGAATGTCTCGAATTGGGCGCTTCCTACTTTCAGATTATTTTCAAAAGTCTCTAAACAGCCAAAGGCGTTCCCGTATTTGCCGCTCGTGCTGCTTATTTAACGAGACGTTTGAGAGACCTTCCTGAATAATATTCTGGTAATATTTTATCAACTGGTGAGCGATGAAACGGGCAAAGTCGATGCCGCTAAGAATTGTGATACTTGTATCCGAGCATTAAATAATGAGCTTGAATTAAGTGTATTAAACAGGCAGATATTTTTCACCCGCATATCCGGGTATCGAGGTTGCGTTCCAAGAAATTCCCATTAATTCGTTGCGTTCCGCGAATCAAGTTTGATTGCAAAGATACCGACAGCCAATGCAAACGTTAGTATTTACATGTAAAGCTATTACAGTGATGAGTCCAGATATGCAAACGAACATATCGACCAGCAAGGGACATTTACTTCAGGTTGTATGAGTTGTAAAATCTCTGCCAAAAGTTTAAGAAATATAATAAAAAGCTATATATGTTTCTATATTTTATTGATCGCAATAGTAATTCTACTTTTCCTAATCAAACTCAAAAAATTTGATTTCACTCTATTCATTACCACCTCACATGCTCAACCCTTTCGTGTAACAAAATACAAGTTTCAGATCAGATATGTATAAAGTTGTAAATCGAACGTTACAAACGCAACATGAGCAGCGATCGTATATATAGTATAGTATTTCCATAAAAGAGTGGAGCCCGTGTATTCGTCGAATCAATAATCACTAATGAGACAAGCATTTCGTCGATACGATAGCCCGAATCCGATCGTTTCGAAACAAACGTAATTTGGTTATGAACAGTCTCGTGTTGAGACTGAATGAATCCAGGAACTAGGCACGATGATATCTCGTTAACTCAAACCGTTTCGTGCGGTTGTATTATCTGGAATCGAGTGCCACCGGTGTGAGAGATTCAGGTAATTGAAAGTCTGACGATGGAAGAGGCGCGCGTGTAAGCGTTGTACAACAATCTGCATTTACCTATCGAATCGTGCGCGTCCAGAAAATCGTGGCCGCCGCGTCAAGTCGGGTTTAATTGAACAGAATTTCATTAATCTTCGCGAACCGTTCATAGACACACGTGATACAGTGACTCCCATTTAAAATAGAGTAACTTTTTTAATATTGGATCAAAAAACTTCATTCTCTTTGAGGTGCTAGGAGAGAAATTGCTATTCGTCGAAGTCTTGAATAAAAGAGTAAAGGACATGATTTTTAACTTAGACATAGAAAGAGATAAGTACGTGAAATAAGTGCTTACAATAAAAATAACGATTTGTTCGACAAACAAATTAGGTACTTGTAAGACTTGAAGAAATTATCTAGAACTCGAACGGAACAATGCCGATGAAACGGAGAATGCACATCGATATGCGCAATGTAAACTGCTTGAGCACACAGAATTATGGGAATCTGTTGGCATAGAGCGTGGGAGTTTTCAGCCACACCTTGTTCATCGAAGAATCGCATTGAAAAGGACGCTTCGCCAGCCGTAAGTTAAAGAGAGAAAGGAGAGTGGAAGAAGGTGGAGAAAGAATCTCGTCCCTCGAAAATATTTCTCGGGAGTGAAAGCATCCGGCCTCGGTGAAGAGGATCGGCACAACAACTCGGAGTAACCTCCGGCTGTCGCGTCGTATCGTATCTGCGCGTGGTATACGATGGTAGCGATCGTCTCCTAGGGATCGTGACGACTTAAACTTTCGTTTAATTCATCACAGAGTCGCGCGGGGGGCCAATCAAGAACTTTCTCTCAAAGGGAAAAATCCGTAACCGATCGTACCCACTTCGCTTCGACTCTCTTTCACTGTTCGCGTCTTCTCCCGGTATATCCTTCATGGCTTTCATCCGGAAATAAACCGCGGTACGTTTCTACAACGCGTTATTAACGACGCTCGGAGAAGCGGAAAATCTAATATCGCCATTTCGACGAGCTGGTACCGGTACTTCGTAACGTAAATCCTTACCGAGGAAATCGCAAGGACGATTTGTAATACTGCCTCCAGGTACATGCGTCTTTACTTATGGTAATGATTGCGTATTCATGAACGAATTATTTAACGAATTTTCGCCAGAGTGATTAATACAAGACCATCCAGCTTTCTAAACGTCTAATTAATATAGCAATTCTGTTAAATTCACATAAAAATTC